TTGGGGGTCTTTGATGCCGCCTCCACGTGAAATCTGACATGAAAGACCTACGAGCAATTTCGGGACCCCAGTGCGGGGGGTTCGTTCTGCCTCGTGCTGCTTCCTTTGTCTCTCCCACGACCCTTCCTTGGGAAGTCTGGGCAGAGGGTCCCAGGGTGAGGGTCTGGGTGTGGGGGTGGGTGTGCATGCACGTGAGGGTGCACAGGGCGGGGTGGGCTGAGGACAGGGCCTCAGCCACGAGAACAATGGGCAGCAGGGAGCATGTCCACCTGTCCACCTGTCCGTCTGTCCACCCGTTTGGCTTACCTCACCTGCCTGGCTCCATGTGCCTGCTGGCGCCCCACCATCCCGCAGTCCGCCATGATGGGCTTGGCCGTCAGTCCGAGCACTTTTAGCCACTCCAGGAAGCGGGTCCCTGCTCTTGGCCACTGTGTGGCTGGGAGGGAGAAGCGTGACTCCAGGCTGCAGCTCAGGCTCCCACCGCCGATTGGCTGAGGCGGGGACCAGATGACGGCCTCGAAACCCTATGGTAGCCATGGCAACCAGCCCCTTTAGACACCGCCACCCCCGAGCCACTCCTGACTGCTGGGGGAGCAGGCAGCGCCGCCAGTGGGCCACACCAGGGTCCCCTCGGCGGGTCAGGTCAGGCATGGCTGGATGGCAGCTGCTCCTGCACGCGCTGTTGAGTGTTTTCATGGGTGTGTGTGTTTCACGCATGTCCAGTGTGAGAAGTCCCTGTCCCTCTCTTGGGACATGTCCTAGGCCACTCTTTGCCCTGCCTGATCCTCTGGTAGAGGCAGGAACAGTGTCCTTGCAGCCCATGCTAAGAGGAGGACTTCAGGTCAGGCTTGCCCCAGGGGCTGGAGGCCAGGCCCAGTCTGGTGAGAAGACAATGGGTGAGGGCAGGAGGAGGAAGAGTAGGGGACTCCCCAGCCCCAGGGAGCAGAGCCAAGCTCTCGATCCACCTCAGATCCCAAAGGGCCTGCCAGTTTCATCTCTGCCTGCCAACCCCTCCTCCGCACTCTCATTAGCCTGTTGAACTCACAGACACACTCACAGTCCCCTCCCAAGAGCCTTCAGAGGCCCCAGCATGGCCCTACTGCCCCACAGACCTGGTGTCTCCACCTGGCAGGACTCTGGGACTTCACCACACTAGGCACTCTCCAACCCTGCGGAAACTGGCCACACACATGTGACTGTACCTGCTCTTCCCTTGGCCTGCATCCCCAGGCACCACCAGCCCCTCGGTGAGGCCTTCCCAGATGTCTCAAGACCAGGGCTTCTCAGTGAGAGCACATGCAGCATCACTTCAAGGACTGACCATCCAGGGTGTCGCAGAGCACTGAGTGCCCAGGGCCACCCCACCCCATTTCTGTGACAGTCCCTGGCCTGTCCAAATGCTCCTGGGATCAGCACCACCTGGTCAAGGGTCCCATGAATGCCACCTGAGAGCCTGGGGAGGCCATGTCCCGCTTCCTGGTCCAGGCCCAGCCCACCTGCTGAAGAGCAGATCAAGTAAGAGCAGCAGCAAGGCTGCGAGGAGCAGGTGTGAGCCTCCAGCCCCTGGGGAAGAGGCCGGGGCTGAGGCAGGCCCAGAGGCTGCTGAGGAGGCCACTGCCAAGGCCAGAAGGTCCCAGGAGCCAGGGGGAGCCTGGAACACAGGTCCACAGGGTCGCACATCCAAGGGAACGGGCTCAGGGCAGGCCAGGCCAGGCCCAGAGCCACAGGGTGCAAAGTCTGCTCAGCCAGCCCCCTGGACTTGGTCTCAGATTTTTTGACACTGCCTGGCCCCACCCCAAGCCACCGTCACAGGATAGAGCCCCCAGCCTCAAGGGCTTCCCCTACCCTGCTGGATGCCACCAGCAGACAGGTCTTGCCCAGGGAGACAAGACTGTGTCTTGTGATTGGAGACACAAGCCTGAACCAGCTAGGGGTAGTGGAGAAGGGTCCAGGAGCTGGAACCCCATTTTGGGGCTCATGGTGAGCTGAGGGAGGGCTCCAGCGTGCTGTGGCAGAGGGTGCCAGACAGCTCAGGGCTAGCAGGGGTGGGAGGGAGAGGGGTTGGAGGAAGTCTGGAGCCAGCAGAAGGGTCAAGGGTGCACAGTGGATGGTAAAGGTGGAGGTGAGGTCCAAGCACAGGCCCAGGGAAGGGCGGACAGTGCAGGCAGGTGGACCTCACAGCGGCCCGTCTGCTCCCAGCACCCTGACGGGGCCCAGGACTCCCCTGATCTCTCCACACCCGCCACCCTGCAGCCGGTGCACACCTGAGCAAGACTCAGGTGAGACCCTCAGGGTGAAGGGTCAGGCAGCACTGGGCCGTCCTTCCTGGCCTTGGTCGCCCCACCTCTAGATGGGGTTGATCCTCTCGCCCTTCCTGGGACTCGGGGACATTGGAACGAGACAGTGGACACAACAGGGCCTTGGGACATGATGGTGTTGATGGCCATGCTCTCGTCAAGGACCCCTCCCCAGTCCATAGTCACAGTGATGGTCCACTCTCATGTCCATGGCCCAGCCACAGCCCTGACACTGAAGCTGATTGGTTGGGCTGTTGTCATGAAAACACATGGGCTTAGCCAATCCTAGGACACACAGCAGAGGGAGGGGGCTTGCCCCTGAGGGGTCCTGGAGGGCTGGACCCAGCTGGTAGAGGACAAGGGCGCGGCCTGCTTGCCCACCGTGGGCCAGGGCAGGGCAGCTCCGGCTTCTGCAGGTTTGACCTCGGTCAGTACAAACCCTCTGCCACAACCCAGGGGCCAAGGGGGGATCTGCAGGGTCCCAGCAAGACACAGACACAGCAACCAAGGATGGGCAGAGCTGTGGTCGATGGGAGGAGACGAGGAAGGCAGCTCAGGGCCTAGAGCAGGGGACATAAGCCCAGATGGGCTCCCCCAGCTCAGCTCCTGCTTCTGTGTGCTGCGTGTGGGTGAGGGCAGTCCATGCGTCCTCCTCCTTGTCCTCACCCCGGAAGGTGGAACAGCATGGTGGATCCAGCCTGAAGGGGCCTGGCCCTGGATTATTGTTTTAATTGGGGTGGGGGACAAGTCCGTCATTCACTGAGAGCTTCTTAACCCTTCCTGAGTCAAAGATATTTGTGAGAATTTGATGAAATTGATGCTGCCCCCTACCAGAAAAAGGCTCATGTTTTGGAGATTCAGGGCCAAGGCCACACTCAGACCCCCACCTCAGGCCAGCCTCAGGTTTCGGCGAGATGAGTGACCTGCTGAGGCCATGCTGAGCTCCCCCTACTAGCCAGCAGCACTGGAGGCCAGCCTGGGCCATCCTTGTGGTAACCCCCAGGCCCTGGGGGAAGCAGAGCCACAGGCCGGGATGCGCACATTCTTGCTCAGCCCACCAGTGATGACAGGGAGACCGAGGCATGGGTCCACTCCCTCCCCACTGTGGCCCACAGCAGACCCAGTCCCCACCCTGCTCTGACCACTCACCCTGTGCCAGCCCCAGGTCCCTTGGGGCCCCAGGATTCTGACACATGAACCCTACAGGAGCTGGCAGGAGCCCCTCAACCTGTAGCCTCAGCAGGGGCAGGGAGAGCAGGTGGGCAAGGGGTGACTGAGGGCCAAGGTCAGAGAATGGGGGATGTCCTGGGTGCACACTGCAGGGGGGCCACACGACAGGCCGAGGGGCTGGGAAGGGCATCAGTCTGACTCCGTTCAGGGCTGACATGAAAACCATGCTGTGGACACGAATGTGGGAGAGCTGGCGCATCCAGAACTCCACCGATTGGCTGAAGCCAGGGGCTGTGGTTCGGACAACAGGCTGGGACTTGCTGGCCCACCAGAGTAGGGACAGGAGTGGGCTGGGCATTGTCAGCTTTTGATAAAATTTTTAAAAAAACTGGGCCGGCTCCGTGGCTTAGCGGTTAAGTGCGCGCGCTCTGATGCTGGCAGCCCGGGTTTGGATCCCGGGCGCGCCCCGAGGCACCACATCTCCGTCCAACCCGAGGCCGAGTCCCGCGTACAGCAACTAGAAGGATGTGAACCTACGACATACAACTATCTACTGGGGCTTTGGGGGGAAAAAATGAATAAATAAAATCTTTAAAAAAAAAAAAATTAAAAACTGTTCACCAAGCAGGGATGTTACATGAGGAAACACTGCTGTGCAGGAAGATTCAGCACGCGTGGGGTCCAGAGGTGCCCCGGAGGAGCTGGGGACAGAGACCTCCGGGCACCCCCCCAGGCTGACCCAAGGCAGGCCCCGACCCTCGATGACTTCCTTAGGAGCCCCGGGATCTCCGGGGCCCTAGTTCAGCCATGACCACTGGCTGGCTACAGGCTTCCTCCAGCCTCTGCCTCCAGGGGAGCCCAGCACCCCTCAGACAACTGCCAGGAGCAGGGCAGGTGGACCCCTCCCTGTCCTCCCAGAGACCCAGCTGGGTCTCAACGCTCAGGACTTCCAGATAAGGGCCAGGGAAGAGGCCAAAGCACCCTCAGATCTCAGAGCAGAAAAGGCCTCAGGGTGCCTGGCTTAGTCTCCTCCTGGGAGCCACATGCCCACCCGGGGTGAGGTGTGGGTCAGTCGAGGCAGGGGCACCCAGGTCATGCCCCTGCAGGCCCATGTGGCCTCCACCTCCCGCACAACCGTGACAGGTGGTGCTGTTGGACGCTCCTGACTCAAGGCCTTCCCTGCAAGACGCCGCCGCTGCCACCCAGAGCCGCAGAGGGTGCTCCCGCCCCGAAGGGCACACCAGCACAGACACCCTCCAGTCACTCCCAGAGCCAGGCCACAGCCTCCCTGCCTCTGCTCTGCAAAATGTTCCAGAACAGGCAGAGACGTGCAATGCGAAGTGGGCTCTATTGCAGGATGCCTTCAACTATACTGGACTCTCTCCCAGAGGAAAGAAAAATCAACCTTGGTCACAGTTCAGCTAGCCACCACCACCCGTCTCAGCTGCCTCCCAGGTGTCCGGGGCAGGAGGTGACAGAGTCAAGGACTACGCGGGAGAGCTCCGGTCCTCCAAGTGATGCAGCACACACACGGCCCTGCTCAGACTTTACTCGAGCTGCCCCCAGAGTGTGTGACCCCACCTCAGCGGGGCCTCCGCTGCAGGACGGAGCATGGACCACAGAGGCAGCAAGGAGGCCCCAGGGATCTAGGGATGCTGAGACAAGAGGCCCCCAGGGACCTCCACAAAGCCCTCCCCACCCCAGGAGCTGCACGGCCAGCACACACAATAACAGGTTCACCCACTGCCCACGAGTGGCCAATGCCACCACCACAGGCTCTGTGTCCACGGTGCCAAAGGGCAAGGGGCTGGGCTGAGCCTGGCCATCAGGCCTGGGGCACTACGCGGTCACTTCTCGCTGGTCTCTTCGCACCACCACCGGCTCAGACAGTGCCTCCTGCTGAAGCCGCTTGATCAGCAACTCCACGAAGACCTTGAACAGAGGGACAGGGTCCTACGGGGGAGACAGGATCATGGTGAAGCATTCTGGGGAGGGTGGGAATCCAGCTGCTGCTGGCCAAATACTGAGAGGACCGAGCCCCTCAGGCCTGGCCACAGGGCCAAGCAGGGCTGTTTGCCCCCCCCAGCCCCCAGCCCAGAGGGCAGTGCCCTATCCAAGAGACAGGGACCACCTTCCCTTGGGGACGCGGGGATCAGGCGCCTGCCCCTGGCTTCCCTCCTAGGGGCCCTGTGGTCGCAGATAAACCGAGAGAGGGAATGGTACAGCGGGTGCCGTGTCATGGGTGGGCTCCCTTTCCCGGCAAGCACCACAGGTTCCAGACCCTTCTAGGGGCAGACCCCAAAGGGCTCAACTTGATACAGGGGAGATCCTGGGGGCCAAGGGGACACCAGGCAGCCAAGTAAACCGTCGGTGCCAAGAAGCCAGCTCTTGTCACCAAGTCCTTCTTCTATGAACCTATGAAGCTGGCCAGAGGGAGCAGGGGAGGGTCAGGACCTCGTGGAGAGAGAGCATGCTGGGCACACCCCACAGGACTGTGGCTGCGGCTGGGCAGCCGTGCAGGTGGCTCCTCCCCAAACCCACCTGAGGCAGTGGCCCCTCGTCCAGGCTCCCCCGGGCAGCGCACCGCCCCATCCTGTCTGACTGCTGGTGCTCAGCAGCTGTGCCCGCCAGAGAAGACAGGGTAGCTGGCACTCACACATGCTCACCTTCTCCTCCAGAAGCCTCTGCTTCTCCACAGCCTCCTCCAGCGTCAGGCCGACCCACTCGGCCTCCGCCTCCTGGACGACAAACTCCTGGGCAGGCAGAGACAGGGCACGCAGTGAGGCCAGGGGCGGCTGACCAGGGGGCCCACGGGTGCAGGAGGCAGAAGCCGAAGCCCTCACCTTGTACTTGTCGTAGATGGCCGCCCTCCTCTCAGGGTCGTCCGGGTGCAGCTGAGGGTCCCGTCGGGCAAGCCGCAGCAGCATCCCTCGCTTCAGGTCCATCCCGAACTTGGAGCACAAATCTTCCTTCGGGGTCTAGCAGGAGGCTACGCATGGGACCAGGTGCTGCCGGCGGGGCCCGCCTACCCTACCAGCCACCTCACCTGGCTCCTCCCCAGCCCAGCAGAGCACGTCAGGCCAGGGAGGCAGCCCAACACCCAGACCAGAACAGAGGATGGGCCAAGGACAGGGAATGCGGCAGCTGTGCTTACTCGGGCCGGAGGGTGAGACAACTGCCCACAGACGCTCCTCTGGGCAGAAAGCCCCCACTGAGGCTTTCTGGAAAGGGGCATGTTCCCATTTGCATTTCACTGGTGACTATCCACCTCCACTATGGCGCTGTTCTGGCCTCCCTTGAGTCTCTGACCAGCCACGAGACCCCACTGTGTGTTGCCACTTGCCTTGAGGATGTAGAAGTCAAACCCATAGGCCTCATCGATGAGGTCCAGGGTCCGCATGGTCACGGTCACGGTGAACTTTGTGTCCAGGATCTCACTGTAGAGCTCGCGCTGGAACAGCTGTGGCTTCCACACCTTCTTTACCCTCTTCGAGAGCTGAGGGAGCAAGAGACATTGTGAGAAGCTGCTGCTTCTCCCGACAGACCCGAGGGAGGCCCAGGGCACTTCCTGAGACTCAGGATGTGGAGCTGGCTGTCCACCCAGAGGTCAGCTTCTCCCCAGCTGGCATGACACCCCCAGACCTTGCCCAGGCTGCTGGTGTGTGTTCCAGACACTCCAGACACACAACCCTAACTCCATGGTTCACGGGTCAGCACACTCCAAACCAGCGGCCAAGGGACCAAAGGCAAAGGGACACAAGCCTCCGCTACAGGAGAGCAGCCCCTCCAGGTTTCCCACCAGAGGCAGCACAGCGTGGGGACAGATGGGAGACCTGCTGCCAGGTGAGTCTCCAGCCTTCCTAAGTGTGATTAAGAGGTGGGAGCACCAGCCTTGTAGGTGTCATGAGAAGTAGGCAAACTCTGGCAAGTCAAGCTGACAGGTGACCACAGACCTCATGCCCCCCACCTCCTTTCAACACACAGGCCTCCTCCCCAACCTCACACTTGATCTGGGCCGCCACCCCAGGGCCCTTGCACTTGCTGTTCCTGTGGCCCACCACATCTAGGATACCCAGTTGGTTTTACAAGTAGTAGTGTTTGCCACATTGTAACTTCACTCATTAGAATTCTTCTTGGATAGAAGTGTCTCCACCAGACTGTAAGTCCCCAGGGCCGGTCGGCACCCCTTTTGCTCTCCAGGCACCTCGGGAGCCCAGCACAGAGCCCAGAGCAGCAAAGCCCGGGAAGTCCCCCTGAAGCCTGCCGCGCTAACCAACCTTGTCGTTGTTGACGTATCTGTGGCCCAGGATCCAGCCCTCACCGCCCCAGAGCCCCCGCTGGGACTCCGCGGGGTAGTGAATCGGAATGGGCACGTCCTCCACGCGCTCCCGCTGCCCGTTCTTGGGGTTGATCTTGAACTTGGCCCCGTGCGGCCTGTAGTGCACGGGAGCGGGCGTGCGCGCCTCCTCCAGGGAGCGCAGGTAGTGGCGGGGCAGGCGCGCGCAGATGCCCTCCCGCAGCCGGAGCTGCTGCCACAGGCGGACGGGGACCTTGTGCAGGGGCATCGGGGCAGCCTGGGGAGCAGGGGGCCGTCACGCCGCCGCCCCCCGGACCTCGCGAGGACCCGAACCCGACCTCGACCCCGGCCCGACACAGACCTGACACCGGTCAGACCCCCGTGCGGACCCGACCTCGACCTGATCCCGGCCAGACCCCCCGCGCGGCCCCGACCCCGACCTGACCCCCGACCCCAACCCGACCCCAGCCGGGCCCCCCGCGCAGCCCAGGCCCCAACCCCCGGCCCAATCCCCGACTCCGACCCTGACCTCCGCGCGGCCCCGACTCGGGCCCGATCCCTGACCCCGATGCCCCCGCGCGGCCCAGACCCGGGCTGTGCCTCCTACCTCCGGGAGCTCCCAGCCCCGCCGGAACAGGAAATCGCGCCGCGGCGCCGTGCCCTCCCCCCGCGGCTGACTGGCTGCAAAGCCCGTCCGTCTGCCCTCGCCCCGCCCCTTCCGGTCCTCGGGGACCCTGAACGCCGCCGGGCGCCGTCGGCGACAGCGGCGGGAGTCCCGCGGGCGGTAGCCCGGGGTCGGGCTTGCCATCCGCGGTCTCACCAGCCCTTCTTCCCAAGGAGTGCAGAAACAGTGTAGAAACTCGTTCGCGTGGAAATATTACTGTAGAATATTAAATTCACCAATTACAGCGAAATCAGAGCTACAGAAAAATAGATCTTAATGTCTTAAAAATTTTTACCCTAAAAAACACCATATATAAATGTTTCCCCTTTACAAGCCTAGAGAATGCTCGAGTGGCCAAGTGCAGGGTGACTGGGGGTGGGGGAGGCCTCCAGGGAGGGGACACCCTGGACAAGACCCAGAAGGGAAGCCCCAGGGCCAGAAGGTGGGAGGGCCGAGTGTCCCGGACCCTGGGCTTCGGCGACCCCAGCTGACCCCGTCCGCACCCCTCACACTGACAGCAGCCCCCTGTACTCTGGCCATGGGGAGGGGAGGGCATGGCTTCTCCTCTTACCCTACTTCCCCTACAGAGGAGGGAGAAAGTCCCCTCCCCAAACATGTGGTGGGCCAGTGCAGGGTGGCAGCCATCACCTCTGCTCCTGGAAACAACTCAAGAGGATGCTCCCCAGACAAGGGCCCAGGAACCCAGGGTGGGTGGGGACACAGAGCTGGGGCAGGGTGTGCCCCGTGGTGCTAGCACCCCTGGGAAGCTCTTCTCAGAGGCCTGCAGCTCCAAATCTGAGAGCCAAAGGGAGGGGAGGGGCAAAGTACGACAGCCAGAAGCCAGCCTCCCCCATGCCACTCATGACAGTTGGCCCCTTCATCTGTCCCCCAGTGCCCATCAGTTTTCTAGTGACTGTGGTCACCTCTCCCCACAGCAACTGGGTGAGGCAGGGGGTATCCTCATGCCCAAGACAGACTGGCATTCAGGGGCACACAGCATCAGAGAGCCGGGGATGCAAGGAGGGCACAGCCCACAGCCTCAGCGGCAGCGGCCCATGGGAGGTGGGCAGGCCTCCCCTGCTCCCGACTCTCACATCACAGCCTCTCAGAGGAACAGGGCAATGGGGAAACCTTTCTCCACATCTCCAACCATCCCCAGGCCAGCAGAACAGAGGCTGCCTTACACAGTACCTGTGGTCAGTCTCTAGGCAGCCAGACCTAGGCTGCCTGGAGCCACTGCAGATACCAGCTAGGACCTGCAGAGGGACTGAGTCAACCAGCTGGCACAAGGGAGTTGGGGGAGTGTGGTCCTCTCCTTGGGAGGAGGAAGCACAATGGTGTGCAGGGCAATTTTATTCAGTTGGAAATCGATCTGGACAGGGTCCCTCTCTCTTGGTCCTGCCCCTGCCTAGAGAGGTCATCATCAAAGCCACAGGTGTCCCTGAGCTGGCCACATCAGGTCACCGTGTACAGCTCCTCCCGGTGGTTCTTGCAGATCTGATAGTGGCAGGTGAGCTTCTTAGAGCAGACCCAGGGCTCGGCGTGCTTGTCACGCGGCGGCAGTAGGAACACTGCGCTCCCTGCCAGCAGCATGTGCCAGATGCTGTGGGTGTAGTAATAGTTGTCACTGGTGATCATGCAGGTGTAGATGGCGATGGCCACAGTGGCCATGGAGATGCCAGGCAGGAGGTAGAAGACCCAACGCTGCCAAGAGGTGGGGTAGCAGTGGCGCCGGTGCCCACAGCGGTACACCTAGAGGAAACCACCACAGGAGCATTGGCACAGGGGGCTGCAGCCACAGCTCCCAGGGGTCCACCCAGGAACATGGCCAGCATGAGGGGCCAGGCTCTCTCCTCCCAGAGCAGGGGTCCGAGAGCGCACACTCTCTTATCCCAATCCCAGGGGAGGGGGTCTGGGCAGGAGCGCTGGCCTGCCCAGCTCCTTACCCACATGGTGACCATGACCACAAAGGCAAAGAGGCAAGGCCCCAGCATGTTCCAGACACCCCTGCGGTCCAGCTGCAGGGACATGGCGAAGACCAGCGTGCCCAGGAGAAACAGAACCTGGGCAAGACACAGGGATGATTGCAGGTCTGTGATGTCTGTGATTGCACAAGGTCCAGCAGGAGCAGGTGGCCTGGGCATGCCAGTCATCTTGCTGTCCCCCACTGCTCCCAGCACCTTGGCCCACCCCTCGGAGCTGCTGGCACACTCTGTCTTGCTCTGCCAGCTGGGAGGGGGGTGCCACTCGTCCAGCTCCTGCAGTGTCTGGACCCCTCACTCCCAGTGACCCATCCACAGGTGAATTTCCAAGGCAAGTAGTTGACCAGGCAGGGCACCAGGGCACACGTCTCCATCGGCCAGGCCCGGCTGTGGCAGAAAAGTCCCCAAGGTGTCCTTGGCACCAGGGACTCCAGGAGCATGGCTGGGAGGTCTGGCCTAGGGTTGGGGCCCCAGGAAAGAGACAGAACAGGGGCCTCACCTAACCCTGCCCACCATCTTCCTTGCCTGGCATCCTCCAGCAGCCAGCACAGTCCCGCCACAGCTGGCAGCGGCTTCTTCCCGCGGGCAACTGGTCATTATGAGAGACGGGAGGTCTCTAAGGGCAGCAACCAGACCCTCTTTCTGGTCTCTCCCTCGACATGCTTCACGCAAGGGCCTCTGCTCCCCCAGAGCCCAGACCCGGGGTGTCAGGGGGTCACTCACGTATTTCAGGGCTGCCTTCAGTCGTGCCATGCAGAGAATGGTGACCCAGATGGACACTCCAGAGCCCAGGAAGTCACAGTACTGCAGGGTGTCGTAGCTGAGGATGCACAGCACGGCCTCCCCTGGCTGGTCGCAGGCGTGGTAGAACTGCGGGGTTGGGGATGGTGAGCAGAGGCCCAGACCTCCCCCCAGTACCCGCGGGAGCGGGGAGGCCTACCGTGGAGAAGAACATGGTGTAGGCGTAGACGGAGGCCTCCACTAGGAGGGAGCGGTGCACGGAGATGGCGATGGGAGCCAGGAACACGAGGTTGCTGAGGGTGAGCAGGAGCGCAGCCACTCTCTGCTGGGCCACGGTCTGTGCGGTGCTGTTGTCCGTGCAGCTCCACCCACGCCAGCCTGTGGACTGACACAACACTGAGGGGGCCAGGCTTGGGGGGAGCACTTCTGAACCTCAGGGCCCACCCCTCACCCAGGGTGTGCAGAGAAGCCCCTTCCTCACCCAGGAGCAGGCTGGGACAGGCCGGGACAGGTGTGGGCAGGTGTGGAGCTCGTGTGGGTAGGTGTAGGCTGGTGTGGGCAGGTGTAGACAGGTATGGGGCAGGCGTGGGCAGGTATAGGCAAGTGTGAGAGGGGTGAGGGTAGGTGTGGACAGTTGTAGGGCACGTGTGGACAACTGAGGGTAGGTGTGGGCAAATGTGGGCCAAGTGTAGACAGGCATGGGGCAGGTGTGCACAGCTGTGGGCAGGTGTGGGTGGGGGAGGCCAAGATCAGGAGGCAGTACCGTCTCTGGGGGTGCTTCTGTGGGCCCACGTGGGGAATTGGTAGGCATAGTAGGAGTGGGGAGGAGGCATCAGCCCATGCTCTGTGGGGCGCTCTCCAGTCTCAGCAGAGCTGAGATGGACTCCCAGAGGAAGGCAGAGGGCTGAGAAGCCAAGGGCAGGAGTGTCCGGAGGCCTCTGGGCCTGGCCCTCACCTGCCTTGCAGCTGCAGCCCGCATACAAGTAGCCGTGTCTGCGCAGCAGAAGACACTGGCCGTAAGGTCCACAGTCGTTCAGGCAGGGCACCAAGTACAAGGTGGTCTCCACGAGGACGGAGGCCTTCTCACATTCCCTGCGGGGAAGGAGCCACAGGAAGGCTGGCTGCTGAGGTCTGCTGGCCAGTACCCCGCCAGTGCTCCCACAGGCTCTTGGACATGTGAACCCAGAATTGAGGCCCCCAGGCTCTGAGCCCTGAAGGACAGGAGCTGTGAGCTCTGCCGAGGCCAAGATGCCCCTTCCCCCTTGCCCTGCCCTGAGTCCCAGTCTGTCTAGGGCTGTGTCCTGGCCCCATCCCCCTCCTTGTGTCCTGGCTCACTGCCTCGGGAGGGTTGGCCAGGTAGAGAAGGGGAATCCCTCGTAACTTCCCGGGAGGGCAGCTGACCCTGCGTGGCTTGCAGGAAGCTGGTCACTCCCAAACTAGGATGAGGGCAGCCCCGTCCACGGTCCTGAAAGCAGTGATTTCCCCCACCCGGTCCAGCTGGCAGCCCCAGGTGGCCTCTGGCCCAGCCCCTAAGTTGACTCACTCAGGACGCTCTGGGCACAAGAGCTGCAGGGAGAGGTACCAATTGTCTGCCTCTGGGTAGGGGATGATGAGGGTGGCATTGCGAGACGAGGCGCTCAGAGACAGGGGATAGCCCTGGAAGAAGGCTGCGGGGGAGGGCAAGGCTTGGTCAGGGGCCACCAGTGTGGCTGGCCGGGGTCACTTGGCCAGACGCTGCCCGCCCATACCTGTGGTGCAGTTAAGCGAAGTGTTGAAGCTGAGGAAGGGCGAGGCGGCGTTGACGCAGACCACTACCCAGGTGTTGTTGGCAAGCACACTCTGGAAGGAGAGCCACACAGCGTCAGCCCAGGCCTGCGGCCGCCCAGAGAGGCAGGACTGGCGTCCACCCCACATTCCCACTCAGTGTGGTACTGGGCGCCGTTCTCTGTGCTCACACTGGCCCAGGGCCCCCCTGGGACCCTCCCCTCCAGGCCTGGGGACATCCAGCTCTGAGCTCACTGCAGCCCCGCTTCCTCAGCCACAGCCCTGGGCCTGCCGACAGGGACCTGCTGCCCTGTAGAGCAGGCCTCACATTCTGCGAATGGAGCCCCTCTTCTGACCCAAGGCCTGCTGGGGTCACTTTGTTGCCTGAAAGGCCACCCAGACCCAGCCTCCGTGCCAAAGTCAGAGCAGGAGGGCCTGAGCAGCATCACTCAGCCCAGGCCGATCTGAGCCCTGAGCTCTGAGCTCTAAGCCCTGAGCCGAGCCACAGGGCGGTCCCAGACAAAGGTACCTTGTTGGCCCATAGGGAGATGGTGAGGGAGCCTCCACTGTCCATGCCCATGTTGAGGTGCAGCCGCATGACTGAGGGCATGTCCGACTGCACCAGCACCCAGTCCCTGTCCAAGGGCCGGAAGCGCACAGACACCACGTCCATGTCTTCCCTCATGACCGGGTAGCTCATGAGGCAGAAGGGGCCACCGCCCAGCACGCTTTTCCCGCCCAGATCCTGGTAGCTGGGGCTCGGGGAAAGCAGACCAGTGGAGGTGTTGCAGCTCTGGTTCAGGCTGCCCTGCAGAAGGTGCTGGAAGTTCCCACTCCACGGCCTGCAGGCTGTCAGGAGGACAAGGGGCTCAGCTGGAGGGAGGCCTGGGGGTCAAGGGCAGGGGCAGAGCCACCCCCACTCTGCCCTCCCCATGCAGCCCACCTGTGAGGGCAGCTACAGTGCTGAAAGCCACCGACAGATGGGGCCCCGCCAGGCTCTTGGCTGTCACTTGCAGCCATCGGTCCCAGGGTGGTGAGGGCAGCAGCAGGCGGCAGGCCTGGGTGGGGCCAGTGCAGGTGAGCACCTTCTGGAAATTGCTGGGCAGGGTGGCCGAGCCCACGGTGAGGCGCACAGGGCAGCCCAGGCTCCCGTTGGACACACAGCCCTGTAGCTCCAGCCGCAGCTCCTGGGTGTACTTGGGGACAAAGATTCTGCAGGCAGAGGGACTTTGCTCAGGCTCTGTGGCTTCCACCAATGCCCCCCATCATTCACACTCAGGGTAGTGGCCAAAGAGGGCTGAGCATCTGGCCCCACTTCCCAGCACCACCCCGAGACCCAGGCCCCAGCTTTCTCATCTGCAGGGTGAGGACAGCGGTACCACCCACTCCACCAAACCCAGAGGCTGGGCCTCCCCCTGGGCCCCACTCACTTGAGGTAGCTGGGGTGGGAGAGGAGGGTCTGCGGAAGGGGCACGTCGGGCTCCAGGACGGAGACCTCAACCACCCGTACAACCAGCATGTCAGGCTGGAAGACGTAGGCACAGGTGGGAACAAAGCCCTGGGGGAGAAAAGAAAGCAGGTGCGGGGGGTCAGGACCAGAGTCAGGCCTGTGGGGGGCAGGACCAGGGAGCCCAGGCGTGGGGGGCAGGGCTGCAGAGCCTAGAGCAAGCTCTGCCCTGAGAAGGTGAATTCGTGCACCAATGGGTCCTGCCACCCATCCTTGGAAGGCAGCCCTCCTCACCTTCACCTCAATCTTCTGGGATGAGGGGGGTAGGTGGGCGACCACAAACCAGTCCCCCGGTGCTGGGTGGGAGATGTTGACGGAGGCGTTGCTCTGTAGCATCTTGATGAGGAAGGAGGGCTGCATGGAGGTGTTGGCGGGGAAGCTGGTGCCCAGTGGGTTGATGACTGGAGGGGCGCCGTAGCGGAAGTACCTGGAGGCGGGAGAGCAGGGCAGGTGTCAGGCGTGGGCCCTGGGCCAGGCTCGGGCGGCGGGCAGGTGGGTGGGCACCTACACGGTGATCTCCACATTGGTGCACGTGGGGCCGCTGCCCTGGGACACTTGGAGCAGCCAGCGCAGCAGTACGGTGTCTGGGGGCACCCGGAAATGGAAGAGTCTGGCGCTGCCATACCAGCTGTAGAAAGATAGCTTCTGCGGGGACTGCGAGAACTGCTCGGATACCAGCCTGAAGTCTGTGGGGAGAAAGCACCGTCAGCCAGGCCAGGGGTGCCCGAGACACCCACCTCCACATGGTGGGCAGAGGGAGAAATTCGGAGGCCCTTCTGCTCTGGCATGACCCCAGAGAGAAAGGACGAGGGGAGCCATGGTGGGCAGGTCTGGAGCCCCTGGGATGCCCAGCACACCAACTTTGACCTTGGCAAAGGTGACTGTCCCCCTCCAGCCCCTGGCAGTTGTCTCTGGCTACTGGTTCCACTTGACAGGCGAGGGGTCATGTCTGGAGGCTGGCTGCCTGCTCAGGCCCATGATGACTTGGGACATGGCAGGACCTGAGCCTGAGACCTCCTCACCTGGAGAGGTGGCAAGCAGAGACCCTGGGGGGAGGGGACTTCAGGCTGGAAGCCTGGCCAGTCATGAGGACAAGGGGGCAGCTGACCCCCATGCTCCAGTGGGCACATGCCCATGCAGAGGGGCACAGGGACGAGGCAGGGGCCCACAGCAGACAAACTGCCCGTGGCTCCAGCCCGGGGATCCTGCATGCCCCAGTCCTGGGGGCAGCTCTCAGGCCCCCACCTTCATGGCTCCCCAGCTCCCCTGCCCTCCATACTCCAAAAGTTTCCCCTGGCTGATCATTCCCTGTCATGCTGGCCTTTCCTGGACCAGCTCTGAGGGTCTTCTGGGACTCAGTCGAGGCCTGAGCCTCCGCCCTGGATTAGGCCCCTCCTGGGAGTGTCCACTGAACAGGACACAACCCCACTGGAGCATGTGTCCGGGTCCCAAAGTGCAATTACCTGCCCCATGAGTGGGTGGGTGAGGTGCCCACCCGGGACTTCCCTCTTGGGACCCCTACAAAACAGCACATCCTAGGTGCTCTCTGTGCCCCCAGGGGTGGCCAACCAGGCCTGGGCTCTGGCCACGAGGTACCTGGGCTGGATGGCAGGGAGCCCAGCCCCAGTGCCAGCTCAGGCCTCCTGCCCCATGTGACCGTGGGTGTCCCTTTCCCTCTTTGGGTTCCAGCTTCCTTGTGAGTTGGCTGAGGTGGAGCACCTCCCTTTGGGTGCCCCTCCCTTCAAGGTTAATGGATGTTAAAGTGCTCCCAGAAGAAATGCACAGTGTGGCCTCACTCCCTCTGAGCTAGGTGCCTCCCTCTGCCCCACTGGGAGAGTGGCTGGCTCACAGCACCCTGGCGGCAGGCCCAGTGCCCCTCCAGGTGAGCCAGGTGAGCAGGTAAGGGAGCCACATGAGCTGGCTCTCCTGCCAGCCTCCTGACCCTCGCATGGAGGCACCTTGAGAAAAGATAACAACACACTCGCAGAGCCAGTCTGAGCTCCAGGGGAGCCGGGCATGGGGGCTGGGCAGGGGTAGGCTCCATGCAGGATGCATTCCAGACTTTCCAGGTGTCTGCTGGCCACGGGGTCCCACACACCAGGCTGTGGCCTGAGTGCTCGGAGGCTAGGAGCCACTGAACTAGCACAAACTTTCCTAAGGCTGCTGCAGCACCTGGACAACATGATGACAAGGGCCCAAAAACCTAAAAGAGCCCCCGCCCCACCTCAGGACCATGGGGCCTTCGAGACACAGCCAGCCACAAGGTACCTGGGCTGGATGGCAGGCATCCAGCCTCTGGATGGCGCCAGGCAGGAGAGGTCACGCTGCAGTGTGCACCCCTGACTGAAAGGGGCAAGGCCTTCTGGCCCCTCGCAGCCCTGGAGTAACCAGCCTGAGGACACAGCTGGTAGCTGTGAAGCTTCAGCAGGTGCACAAGAGATAAGAGACCTGCTCAAGGTCACCCTAAGACCCAATGGTCCTTCACTCCCAGGGTGACACAGCCCCTCCAGCACCCCCACTCCAGCTCTGCAGCTCAACCTCCCCACCCAAGAAGCCCACACTGTTATCTTGGTGAACGTACCCAGCCATTAGCACATCAGTCTGAGCAGGAAGGAGGTCACACTCTGGTATCAGGGAGCACCAGCCACGTGCACTCCCACCCTGCCTACAGCCCCCTCCAAAAACACAGGGTTGGGGGGAGGAGAGAGAAAGTCCCTGAGCCTGTCCTGGAAACTCGAGTGAGGGCACCCTGTCCCATACCCTCCAAACCAGGACAGGCACCCAGTGCAGGGACCCTGTCCACAGACCCACACAGCTGCCTGCCCCTCAACAGGCCTGGGAGGTGGGGGCTACCCCAGGTTTCCTATCTCCATATAACTCCCACCAGTGACCCCTCACCCAGCCCTGACCCCCAGGATGGAGAAAAAGGAGAAAGTAAGGGTCTCGGTATCCAAGGGACCAATTTAAGCAGGAGCCGATCTCGGGGACACTGCCTTTCATTTCAAGCTGTGCCAAGCTCAGAAACCAGAGGCACAGCCCTCAAAGAAACAGGAGCTTGGAGGACCAAGATTTCGGAGAAGGGGGGTAGGGCTGGGAGCCGGGAAGTGGAGGGAGCAAGCCCCAGGCATGTGGGATGAGCTGTCCCCTGCCCAGGGGGACATCTGGGCCAGGCCAGCCTGCTAGCCTGGCCACATGGCCCCCAGGGAGTCCCAGGCCACAGGAGTCAGGAGGTTACTAGGCACCTGAGGTATTCCAGCCCAGCCCCAGGCAGAACCCCCAGGAGCAGCCCCTCCTGGTCTAGCCACCTCCTTGTGCCTCAGTCCTGGTAGGCACTCTCCCGGAGCAGAGACACAAAGGGAGGCCAGGAAGTTCCCCACACTGCAGAAGTGCCCGTTGCCTCAGAACCACCCTGGCCTCCAGACTCCTCAGGGCACCTGGGAGTCTAGCCTCCAAGAAGAAAGGCCAGCTCTGAAAGTGACAGCACCAGGGCTGGTGGTCACTGTGGGAGGGGTGGAGACATGGCACCCTCCTGGGCCCCTACTCCAGGATCTAAGCAACTTGCTTCCAGTTCTGCCCCTCTCCCAGACCAGGCAGGAGCCCTGGAATCTCACTGCCCTACCCCTTTTCCCAGCGGGCCTGAAGCTCGAGTCCCAACTGAGTCCTCCCTGGCCCCTCTGCCTCCACGTCCCGGCGGGCGAGGGTCCTGCCCGACCTGAACGCGTTGGGAGGAGGAGGAGGGAAGGGAGGGCACGCTCCAAGGGGCTGGTCTGGCCGATCCCGGCCCTGGGGACAGAGGAGGGATCGCGGGCGTCCTTTCTCCCCCAACCGTTCGGATCCCTGGCGACTCGCAAGGGGCTGCCCTGTGCCCCCAGCCCGGGGTGGGGACCAGGGCCCCGCGTCCGCGCCCGATGAACGCACAGGTGCCCCCAGGTGAGTCACAATCCCGGCCCCGCCCCCCGGCCGCTCTCCCCACTGCCCCCCAGCCTGCGCCCCCGGGATGGCGCCCGCCGGTCCGCGCTTGCTCACCGCCCTTCCTGCTGTC